TAGGCCTATACTACGATCAGCGATATCAACATTACACAAACGATCTATTTAAGTAATTAAAGTATAAACGAATAGCAATAGGATATCAAAAGGTTTCGATTAGAATAATATGAGTTCTACACTCAAATATAAAGTTTCTTCATTGAAGATGATTACGACAATTATTTTACATTATATTTCACACACACATGACGCGTGTAAATATCTAAAAGTAAGAGAAATTGAGAAAAGGACAATTGGGAAGAATAGTATATCGGTCTATTGAGATCACGTACTGGCGACTTCAACACAACAGTCTAGGAATCTGACGGATCGAATCTGAGCGGGCGTCTGCAACAATGTTGCTAACTATCGCGCGACTAGCAATACACATTGGGGCCTGCAGCGTCAGGTCGTTCACAATCGTACAGGCAGCAGGATCACGGTAAGTAGTTCTTCAATAGTTATAAGGAAACAAGACGCAACACGTCTCATGTTTATTTTATTACTATGAAGGATATTGCGATAGAGAATATTGTGAGTTAATAGAAAATGATTTTCGATCCCGATGACAACCTTTTTTTTTTAAATATTTTATTCACGACTGAGCTATAATAGCCACTTTATTCCCTGAAAAGCAAGACTAAAGTAGCATTTTATTCCCGCATATTTGGTTTTCCCGCAAATTTAGTTTATTCCCGCAAAATTTTGAATTTTTTTTTGAATTTTGAAAATTTTGAAAATTTTTGAAAGTTTTGAAAAGGTGAAAAATTTAAACATTTTGAATTTTTTGAATTTTTGAAAAAACGTATATTTCCATCATTATGACGGTGGCTGAGTAAGTCCCACTTTTCAGGGAATAAAGTGGCGATTATAGTCAGTCGTGAATAAAGCACTATATGTAACACGAGAGTAAAGTCGGTTATTCCCTCGGGTGATTTACTGCCCTCGCTTCGCTCGGGCACTAAAGTCTCACCCGCGGGAATAATCTAAGACTTTACTCCCTTGTTGCATAATGTACTATTATATAAGCTTAAAATAAAGTTTGGGCAACCGAGAAAATTTGAAAGAGAGGAACCTTGAAAAATAGTATAGGTCGATAGTAGTATAGACATATTGGGGACGTCTCACCCGCGAGAATAATCAACGACTTTACTCCCTTGTTGCATAATGTACTGTTATACAAGCTTAAAATAAAGTTTGGCAACCGAGAAAATTTGAAAGAGAGGAACCTTGAAAAATAGTATAGGTCGATAGTAGTATAGACATATTGGGGACTCGCTACGTTAAATAATGGGAACGCATAGACTGCGGCACCTCTTGGGTGATGTGGAAGCCCGCAGGTTGTCGTTGTTTATGCCTTTATTGTAATAAGATAAATAAATTAATTGGATACACTCTTTAATATGTTAATCCCATTTGCAAAAGCACATTTTTTTTTGTAAGAAAAATGCTCTCCATAGAGGGGTCTCGGAACCATATACATCCCGATTCGTAACCGGGTGTACTAGCCAGGCGCCAGAAACATATGTTTCTTATGCTTTTTTCGGAAGTTGTAGTTCTAGAATTTGATCGTTTATTCAACTGCTTACTATTGTCGTTTCGCTTACTTTACATATAAGCAGAATAATATGAAGATGCACACCAGTTAAGAACTTTCGCGCCACCCTTCTTCACGTGGACGAACAATTACAGACAGAGATAATGCTCATTTCCATATTTGCTTCTCAAGATTATTGATTCCAGGTAATGAAGTGAGCTAATTATTTTCTCATAGTAAATCTTATTGCGTTTACACTTGGCGCTGCAACTGAAAATTGCAAATAAAAAAGTATTTATAAGATTATAAGAACCAGCGGCAGCAGTAACAGCAATAGCAGACCCCTCAGCGAGAGAGGATCCGCAATCGCTCAAGTCGCCAGTCGCGCGACACGAGCGGGCGTTTAAAATATTAGTCGATTCTGTCATAGATAAAATTTAAAAAAATATATATAAATTTAAAATAAAGTTTGGGCAACCTAGAAAGGTTAAAAGAGAGGAACCTTGAATAATTTTTGTAGTAAAATAAAAAAAAAAGAAGGTGAAAAAAGAGTTCTTCATGGGGGATCGAACCCGTAACCAGCAGCGGTATATCTTGACAGGTTATTGACTCAGCCACGATGCTCGTTTAATTCTAAATTAAATTTATTATAGATTTATCTATGATATTTCAATCTTTGATATTTCAAATTAATTTATAATTTATCTATGATAAGATTTATCTATGATAAAGATAAATGATGATCTAGATAAAGATTTATTGATCTATAATCTATGATCTATAATCTATGATCTAGATAAAGATTTATCTATGATATTTCAAATTAATTCTAAATTAAATTTATTATAAATTTATCTATGATATTTCAAAATTTCTCTTTAAACTGTTCTCGGTCGTTTCATTTACCAACGAATTTCGCCATTCATTTTTTAATGTTCATTTTCGGCATGATAAGAGGTAAAGAGCGAAAACCAATATTTCTGGCGCTGCAACTGAAAATTGCAAATAAAAAAGTATTTATAAGATTATAAGAACCAGCGGCAGCAGTAACAGCAATAGCAGACCCCTCAGCGAGAGAGGATCCGCAATCGCTCAAGTCGCCAGTCGCGCGACACGAGCGGGCGTTTAAAATATTAGTCGATTCTGTCATAGATAAAATTTAAAAAAATATATATAAATTTAAAATAAAGTTTGGGCAACCTAGAAAGGTTAAAAGAGAGGAACCTTGAACTACGATTTAGCGCCATGCTTTTGGTATCGCCTAAAACCGGAGCGTTGTGCATCTCCCCACTCATCTCTGCATCTCTGTTGTGCATCTCCCTACTCATCTCTGTCCCAGTCATTCCCACTGTTCCACTCGACCATCGACACATAGCATGGACAACGCGATTCCTACTTTAACCCCTTGATAAAATGTCCGCTCTAATAAACAAAGATGGACTGAGGTGGCGGCCAATCGCTCTCATTTTTTAATGCTCCCATTAGCTACGTTTTCTATACTCTCGTACTACAGCTGCTGATTAGAAAGAGACAGGGCTTGGCCGCCACCAGTCGCTATCTTTTTCTATCAGCCAACCATTTTTCCTATGCTTGTGCAGCGTAGTCCCATTCGCATACTTACATATGTCGAGATCAGTCGAGATGCACTCGACCGAACAGACCGACATGTCAGATCTCGTCTGATAGCTCTGATAGTCACTAGTGGCTGCCAATGGCCCCGTTAAGCTTCACGTATTGTTGGTATTGTTCCGTGAATATTGTCAATACCGCAAATATCAAGAGTCTTTCCACACTACCGCGTGCCTTTGACGTTATATCTTCGGTGATTCCTTGTCAGAATAGCTACAGTCAATCTAACCTGGTCTAGCTTCTGGGCACTTAGATATTGATAAGCAAGAACAAGACTTTTTAACGACTACTGTGATCCTATAAAAGAATGGCTGACAACGAGGAGACAGAGACTGGTCTGTGTCTGGAGGAGAGTACAAAGCCCGAGGAGACGCCGGATCTCTTTGCTCCAGAAGCAGGTGCAAAAAATCTGGAAACTGTTATATCTTCAGATAACCATACTATTCCAGGAAGTGAAGCACCGTCATCGAGTCTTGCCAAAGATAAAACTAAAGGTATAAAATGATTTATATGTAACTTCAGCTAAGCTTGTATGAGAGATGTAAACTTTAATGATCAGGAAACTTTTACAGTTGACATTTTATTAAAGGCAACTGCCAATGCACCCATCATGAAGAAGAAAAAATGGGCAGTCAGTCAGGATCAGCATATCGGATGGATCTCAGAATTCATTAAGAGATACTTAAAGCTTGATGCTAATGAAAGATTGGTTCGTATTCTTTGTCAGTCTGTAAAACTCTAATAATCTTAAGGTTGAAAGGTGTGTAGACTTATTTTCATTCTCCTTCCCATTTAGTTTCTCTATATCAATCAAACGTTTGCACCACCTCCTGATCAAACGGTCAGAAATCTATACGACTGTTATGGAACTGATGGAAAGTTGATCATCCATTACTGCAAAAGTCAAGCATGGGGCTGATGGATACGTCGAAGAGGTATCTTTAACAGTGGTAATGTCAAGAGTATTTGGCCCATACAAATATTAATGGTTTCAGTTGCATAGAAGTATGGAAATGTGCTCTGTATTGTAATCTTAAAGAACTTACAAGTGTTTTAACTGTCTTAATAGAAGGACATTTATTTGTTACTTTAAGTTTATTCTATACATCAAACAGTGAATTGTAAATAAACTCGTGAATAGGCATTATTCGCGCTGATGTAATTTAATATGACAAAAATATATTACCGTGCTTTCACTGTAAAGGCTCTCATTAAAGTCGATTATTATTTAGTCTTGCAACTACTCTGATTCAAAGCCATTTTACCCGTGCACGACTTTAATGAATTTGAAGAAGACGACTTTATTTCATATAACGGGAGAATTTTTCGTGGGTCTTACAACGTTGTCGTTTGACAATTGACTTTTCACATTGCCAAGAGAGGAGTGTATTAGCTTCACGCAGTCCGATTAAGCTGTTATTTCTTGGCTCGAGCGGTCGAAACGAAGCACTTTCTTCATAATTTTTGTTAGGCTTTGCAGGCTTGCATTAAGGAGCGACCTTAACACTGTATCAACCGCTTCGAAATTAAATGTCGTATCTATCACAACATATTCTTCGTCATTGAATGAATTTAAACGTGACTTAATTCCACGCCTCCTCTCTGATGCTGCAAGTCGATTGTGTTGCTACGCTATCCGAACATTTATCAATTCTTGTTTCCTCGAATTGAGATATGAATGGACACTCCCAAATCATAATGGCACCGTCGGCACTCACGGTTACAATACATCTGCCATCGGGACTGAATTTACACGCTGTGATAATAGCTGCATGTCCCATACCAATGTGCGTTGTTTCCGCGGAATCGTAGTCCCAAAGTTTAACAATACAATCGTTAGAACCGGTTACAAAATGCTGCCCGTCTGGACCAATGTCCAAACAATTGAGTGACCCTGCGGTAGAACCTTCAATTTCGCGCACCATAAGGCCGTCGAGTGTTTCCCAAAAAGCAATTTTGCGATCGGTACCGCAAGTCAAGATTTGAACACCATTTGGACTGAATCGACTCGACATGTACATTGTGTTACCCATTAGAACCTTTTTTCTTGTTGCCAGTCTGTAAATTGTGACGTTGCATTATAGACGATGAATTTTTATACACTTCGCAAACTCTTACTCACGTCAAGTCCCATATGATGCACGTTCCGTCCGTGCTTGAACTTATTGCATTTTCGTCGTTCTGCGAAATGTGTAATGATGTTACGGCTCCTCGATGCTCTTTTAAAACAGCGGATAAACGCTGCACGTTAGGTCTTATGTCCCAGATTCTGACCTGCCTCACAACACTTAATGGTAGAAAATCTGTTGTTAGGTTAATTGTTGTCTTGAAGATTTACCTGACCGTCGCAACCGCCGCTTATTATTTTTTTCCCATCCTTCGTTATGCCAACAGCCGATACAGCCTTGATGTGGGCATTGTGAATAAGAAAAACGAGGATTCCAGTCTGAGCTGCGAATGCCCTTATAATTCCATCGTTCCATGCTATAACAATGAGAGAAAGAAATAAAGAAAGATAATGAGAAAGAGTGAGAGAGGAAAAATGTATGTACACGAGGCATTAAGGTTACTGACTGAAACAGTGCTGGTCGCGTATGTACCTGAGATAATCATTTTTCCGTCGTAAGAAAAGCAGAGGCTTGAACAAACGAAATTTGGCACTGCGATTCTCAAGAGTTCTTTTTGCGTCTCGAGGCACCATAATCTTATGTCGTTCGTGCTTCCGGTGGCAAATACTTCGGAGTAATTACTGCAACATTGACAGCAGCTACGGTCTTAGTTGCCGAGAAACAGAGCAAGTGAAAAAAATATGATTCAATTATGAAAAGTACTCACTGTGGGAATGCAATGTCGTATATGGCACTAGTATGACATGTAACTAAAAGGCGCATGTCAAAGTTCGACAGTTTCAATTGATAAATCTCACAGCGACTCGTACCAACCAATATAAATTGAGTTCCTAATAATTCGATAGACGTGATCGAGCCTGTCACGTTCTCGGTCAAATACTGAAGATAAAACCAAGTTTAACGCAACGGAATCCCGCATGTGCATTTGTAATTAATAACGGACTAACCGATTGTATGCGCGGTGCGTTTGGGAGTTTCACGCTCTTATTTGTCACGTTGATATCGTTTTCTATGATCTCGACGAGATCTACCGTACCGTCACCAGCTCCCACAATTATTCTGCCATCCTTTAGAAGCAAAACAACCCTCACGCCACCGGCGTACAATTCACCCTCGCCTGCTTTCATTTTCTTCAAGTCCTTTGGTATCTTGGAGTAGCATCCGATCATTATCGGATTCCGAACTGGTTCCGTGTGCGCCAAATCGCGATGATAGTTCAGTCTTCGTGGCAGATATGAGAAGAATAGGCAATAGGATAACAAAGAAAGAGAGAGAGAGAGAGAGATTAATTGTATTAAGATTAACTGGTTCAATGGGAGAAACAATGGAAACAGAGAAAACCTTGCCCGTATAATGTCTCCAGAGGAAGTTCCACAGTATGCATTTTCGTCCCTCTCATCAATTGCGATACAGTTTATGCTCCGCCGAAGTTTTCCCACTTTAACATTAACTCCGTGAACCTTGCGGGAAGCAGGATCTATTCGCCAAACTTTAAAAGTATTATCACCGGCCGTCACAAAGCATTTATCACGATTATTGGTTCTCGAAATGATGAACGCGTTACCCGCAATCTCGTTGCTCGCAAAGGCACCTGAAATTTGCAACTATTTCTTCACTCTGCCTTATATCGGTTATTCAAACGTATTGCGCAGAGGTTAATCTCATTGCAGAAGAAGTTTCGCACGCACCACACATTGCCTCGTTCTTAATCACGTCCCATATAACGATATTACCGTCGTCTCTTCCTCCTAAACTTATCAGGTAATTACTGTCTCGTGAAAAACACACATCCTCCACTCGAACTTTGTGAATCTCGTGACTGCCCTTCACACTGCGTTCCTCGTAGTCCCAGACAATGACCATTGTCTAAGGAACAATTATTTCAATTTCATAATCCTCAATTATTCTCTCGCGATCGTCGCGAAATGTTCCGATTAACGTACCGACCTTGAAACCAAGATGACTGATCTGTCCAGTGCCGATGAATTTACCGCATGCAGAAATGCACAGAGCTGATATCAGATTTGTATGGCCCGTTAAGAACGTTTGTTTACCCGATGCAATATCTTTTATCGTGACTTGATGTCCCATGGGATAAATGAGGTGCTCCTGATCGGGATGGACACACAAACCGTTCTTCGTTAATCCTATTGATGGTTTTTAATACCGATAGATAAGTAATGGCCAAAAGAAATTTGCGTATTTTTGCTGGATTATATGTAAATGGCTCACCGTCAAAAGCTATTATTCCAAGAGATTTGAGCATCTTTACGTCCATTTCCCTTAAGCTTCCTCGTGTAGAGTAAAGTGTGATAGCTCTTTATTTGTCTCTTGTCCTTAAACTTGGCGTCTCTGACAACAAACGATGTCAGAAGTTACTAGGATATCGTTACCACGGTGATCACTTGTTAAAAAAAAAACAGGTAAGTCGGAAATTATAAAATGTACTTTGAAGGATTGCCGCTTACCGAGATGGCAACACTACCTCTGTATGGCGTAAAACAGTTCATCAAATGGAGAACGGAAACTGTAAAAAAAAGACTGAGATATCTTCTGTGATTTCGTCTTTGAGGGAAAAACTTCCTCGAAGTAATTAAGGGAACATATTCTGTAACGTAAAAGAAAAATAATAGTGTTTGTTGGAGTATGAATACATTATAGCACGTGGATTTAAACGGTTTGCGCATCGTTGCGATTCATGAGACGCCAACCTCAGGCCTAATTTCACCATTTAGGCAAAAGTTTAATGAAGCAGAACAATTTAACAGCACTCTGAGGTTTCTCAACATAGTCGAGCTGTTAGGTGCTGCAACCGTCTGCCGCCATGCCATGGATACGTCGAGTCCAACCAAACGCATGTACGAACGCAACTCTCGACCAATAACACAACGCGAATTTCCTGTGAATACGTGTTGTCCCATTGGTAAACAGTTGCATTCGAGTGTGATTGGTGGGCCTCACGTGTTTTCATTGGAGTTCAGAGGCGATGTAATTAGATGCAGTAGGAGCATATGTATATGATGAAAACGCTGCTAAAGATACGTTTGAAATTTTATCGAGACGTTACGGCATGAGGACTAGAGCTCTAGTCTTTATGCATTACGGATTGCTGTTTGGTTTGGTTTAATTACAATCGTTGCAACGACAGGGAACTTCATTGTCAAATAAAACTGAATAAAAGAAATATAATTTTGATTTTATTATTTAATAACTGGGAATATGTCAGAAAGCGTAATAGACCCATGCTCGTGAGTATACATTTGTGTCGGGGTTATAGTTGAAATAAACAAGACAACAGAAACGAGACTAAATGGATATTGTTGTACGTTCAACAACAGCAGTTTATGCGAAAGCATTGGACCGAACTTCTGGACGAAACAGAGGCTGGAGACCTTCGTCAATTGGCCGTTTCAGTCCCCCAACAGTCAGTGCAATCCAGAACGTATGGCTGCAGCCGGTTTTGTGGCTATTGGTGGCAACGACGAACCCGACTTGGTGGAATGTTTTGTGTGTAAGAAGCAGATGGATGGTTGGGATCCTGATGATGATCCATGGTAAGTATTTCATAAATTTTAAGTCTGATATTTACTCCTTTGCCATGCATGCAACAATCTATTCTTTCAGGGATGAACATGTAAAGCACACAACCTCTTGTCCATACATTAAGCTGAACAAACAAGACGAGAAACAGTGGACGGTTCGGGAATTTTTTAATCTCATTAACGAATACACCTTAAGCTGCAAAGTAGGTACTATACGAATAATGCAGTTCCTAAACGAAAGCAAACATTTCTCGATCTGGAGCTTCAGCAGAATGGGGGCTTCCAGTTACAAGCTGATGATCGATAAGTAGCATGTGTTTTCTTATAAAAGACCTCAGCGATCAAGAAACTGATAGCACATCTGTTAAAATCTTTGAGATCAAGAGAAGCGTTATTCGATGTCATTTTATTGTAATCAGGATAACGCAGAGGTATCAATTTTTCATGCTAATACATTTATTGAATGATAAGTTTATATTGTAATTCCAAGTGAGTCTAAAGTAATTTGCGTGATCGTAATTATTTTGTTGAGATTGCAATTAAGTTGTGCTTTGTTTTTGAAGTTTTTTAAAGTAGGCAAGTCGTAAGTGGACTGACAAGCGGATCCGTTGTATACGACGCAATCTTATCTAAATAGGATTATCGTTGCAGATCCAGTGTTAATCTATTTGAGATATACTTTATTAGCTTGTTATTAGTTTATTAAGATGTTATCGTCACAAACGACGAAACAAAAAAGATCGTCGAGGAATGAGGTTTGAAAACGTTGGGAAACTGTATTCGCGCGGAATGTCGGCAATACTCGTGATTCTGAAGTATTATCTCCAACTTATCTGAGAAATATTTGTTTCCTTCCAGACGCAAGAGATGAACAATTCGATTATTAGTTTGAAAAAGGAAATGGCGGCGATGATCGATCGAATACCTGTAATTTATAAATCTAGCTGTTCAGGCCGTTTTTCGGCAAGTCAGAAAAAATAGATTGGATTTTCTACGATTTGAGGAGTCACGTCTGGCGCTGAAGCCGCATCATGGTTGCAAGATTTTGTCTACTTTCCGATTTAAGCTTCAACATTGAGGGCAATGAATGTCAAAATAAAACCAATAAAATTAATCAGCAGGTAAAATGTGTGTAAAATCTCGAGGTGTCATAAACACAAGGCGCCTTGTAATATTCCCAGGGTCCTTAATATAGAATTTATGGTACGGGAGCAGCTAAATAACAAGAGCGATAAAATCTTAAGTAAGTAGTTGCGACCGTTATTATCTCACCAGTGGAGTCATAAATAAGATTCCGAAAGAGCCACGTCCCTAATATACGTGTAGAGTTTTGTCACGCAGATCTGTCAATTCGTTGCCAGCGCAAGTGTTTAATCGGGATGGCATCGCGCACGAGCGTCCGTCCTACACCTACACGTTAGATTGCCCGAAGAACGAAGTACATTGGCATTGATTTGACAAGCAAATAATCGGCTTGTCGTAGATACAAACGATCAGATACAGCAGCTATATACCAAATAATCCGTCTTGAAGATATCGCGGCGACGGTAGTTCTCATATTGATCGTATACTGTTAATCTCATCGGGAAATCTGGTAATTACTGTTTTTCGAACTCGGCCGAATATCCGAGTTTCATCTTTTTCTTAACGTCGTTATTACAGCAAGTCAAGACTATCAAAGGTATAATGAAACTTTTGCTAAAATTAGTAATTAACATAATTTAATTATCAGTGTGTGTCTCGTTAAGTATCACAAGTCTGACGATTTTTGTGATTTTCATAATTTTTATAATTATTCGTAAACGCTTAATGTCGAAGGTGACGGCATTCGAAATCTCCGTACATTGAAATGCTTATTTGCTACCCGCTAATCTTCGGAACGAAATACAATGTCTGCGATAGTCGAACTTAGTGTAATATCTCTTGCTGTTTGTTTTGATATGGCAAACTCACGGTTCAGATGATTCTGACGCGTGCAGGATTCGAAATTGTTGTGGATGGCGATGGACTCGTGTGTACGCTGACGTTTCTTTGAAATAAAATGTAATCCTACCGGGACAAGGATTATTCCTGCCATTTCTGTAATTGCAATAGGGAATTGGTAAACCATTTGAAAACTCTGAAAGTTCCATGAAAAGCTGTAGAGAAGCAGAGGATACAGGCAAGGCGGTTCTTGGTGAGCAGTAAGTACATTATCGAGCGCCATATGTAGTTGGAAATATTGCGATAACGTCTGACTTCGATAACTAATTTTTAGATAAAATATCAGGAGTAATGATCGTCGTGTAGAGCGTCGAAAGAGGCCAATACGCGACTATGAGAATAAATTGAAAAAGGAAGACAGACAGGAAGACAAATTGAAAGGAAGGTCCATTGGGAGAATGGACAAAGTCAGTTGGCCGGATGAGAAGAGGCCACTTCTCTCGTGCGAATGGAGGAGGAAGAAGACGAGACAAGGATATCTTTACAGAGGTGAGGAATCGGCGGTATTATTACCATGAAAGCTTGAAAGCCTGAAAGCCAATCGTATTACGAAACGGGAAATGACCATGGAGTGCAAGTCGCGATGTAAATTTCTCAGGATAAATACCGAGTCTTCTTTTTGCCCTCGTATTTCTGCTGTCCATCAATCTGTCCTGCATAAATGATATGAATTTTTCTTTCTTCGTTCAATCTAAGATATTTGAAAGTACATATACTTGTGACGAGTCAGATAGGCCGCAGAGTGGCTTAATGTTTATTTGGCTTCGAAACGCGACGGAATCATCCTCGCTCGTAAATTATCACACTTGGCATTTAAACAATTAAGATAGCAAGGGTCGTTACCGTATCAATGTGCCGTCGTTTATCGTACCGAAGGAGCAGCAGTAGCAGTAGCAGTAGTAGCTTCCACTCTATCTCTATTATTACGTAGAGTTTCGGTCAAAGAGACTGAAGAGACTGCGTCGTTTTAATTATTTGTCCTCGGCATTTCGGTCTCACTGTGAAATTTCGTAAAATCTCATAGACTCCAGCTTCCGGCAGCTAAAGCTTCAGGATATTTCGTGGAGGAAACTCTAAAAATCTTGGAATGCTTTCGAATAGCCCGTCAACGATGGTAACTAATGGTGGACGTTATCGCGCTTGTCTCTTGTTATACGTTCGAGAAGGAAAGCACCTTTCAACCTCCCACGTAAATAGATCTGCGGCAGACGGTCCTTATTCGTTTCAGAAGTCGATTCCCATATGCCGTTCGATCGTTCGTCAGGTCCCGTAATATTATGAGAACCCTCGAGGCGGAAGCTGTGCAAGCCAAATTTCATGTTATCGAGAGCATTAGAGACATTCTTGATCTCTCGTTTTTCCATGTTTTTGGATGCTGGATCACACGTTATATAATGTAACCAATTCGTCCTTAAATTTTATCAGTGGCTACTCGAGCGTGACCCGCGCAATAGTCGCCGATACATCCGAAGGATTCGTTCTGTAGCCCTTGTCCTCGATTTGCTCGGGTGCCCGAGTACCCGAGTGTACCACCGAGTACTCACTGGTGCGGCCATAACGGCACATCCGAGGCACAACGCGGAAGTAGGATTTATTTCAAGTGTCAAAAGGGAAGACCATGCCGCAAATATTTCGAGAAAAAACTTTGAGTAACAGATCTTTTGCCACTTTTGCCACGAAGACCGTTCCGATCGCGTTCCAATACTCTGGACAGTCGATATAACTTTTAAGAGGGTTGCTACGTATCAATAGATAATTTTATACCTACGGTATTATTCACGTAGTATTTTGACATGTCCACACCACCTCCATGAGTCTCGATTTCATTGTCATATCCAGTCATACCTGTCAACTCTTTACCAGCTGGTTGACGCGTCTTATTGTTATTATCATCATCATCATCATCTTTTTTATCATCATCTTTTATTATTTATAAGCGTTATCGTCTGACGGATCCGCGCAACTCGTGTTAAATATTCAGTTATATGTGTACGTGTAAAGTCAAGATATCCCTCTAATAAAAGCAACTGGAATTATCAGGCAATTAAAGCGTAGGAAACATCGTGTAGTAAACAAGCGGAACCAAATCAGAATCAGTGAGGTATCCTCGAATCGTATAGTTTTTCCATGATAAAGTCTTCTTGATATTCCCATCCTCTTTTTTATTTCTTTGACTTTTAACGATGACGTAGTAAAAGCACGGTAGACAACAATTAGAAGTAACATATGTTCATCAATGAAACTGACTCATCCGATGATCGTATTCGCTGACGAATTAGTCATTGTTCGATCTGCAGGTACGCCTGAGAAAAAAGAGAAAAGAAAAACACCTTGATTTTTTACTCGAGCACTTTTATAATCACAGAAGGATTCGTGTGATTGTCTTGCGTAAGACGAGATCTCACCGTGTTATTCTGAGATGAAATCGATCGATCGACACATGAAACGTAAAATCAATATGTCAATCTCTCTCGCCCTCTCTCTCTCCTCGCTTCCCTACCTCGTGCTCCCCAGCCCCAATCTCTCTCTCGCTCATTTCCACAAAATCGCCGCTTCCATGCACGTGTTTCCGTGACAGCATGCTACGCGTCTTCTATGCCGTTTTAACGAATCTTAAGAGATGCAAAAAGCCCGTTAATATACGTATACCCTAATTGGAAAATCGTTCCGACGAATGAAGCGTGCGTGGATATTGGACCAGTCGCTATCTGGCCGATCTGCGCATGTGATCTATCTGTAAATGCAGATAGCCGACGATCCTGCGGCCTTATCGAGGTCCGAGCACGTGGATATAAAGCGAATTTGTTGAGGGTAGCAGCTCAGTCGCTCGCACGACGTGTGTCGCGCGTCTGCAGGCCAACCGAGCTGCATCACCTTTAGAACGTACTTATAGACATACGTCTATAATATATAGATACAGAACGCTAAAGCTAATTGATTCTCGTTCGTCGACTGATCTCACCTCACCTGACCTGACCTGACCTCCGAGGAAGAGTGCTAATTTATTTTTTTTATTTTTCTACTGTCCAACTAGAGATGCTGTCGGCTTGGAAGGTCTGCTGTAAGTACATTGCCAAAAATTAAAAGAATATAAAAGAAGCAACTTGGACATTTTTTCTGTAGTCTTTGTCTAGTTTATTTATTTATCCGATTATTCCTTTCAACATGTCGCGTCTCTTTCCACGAGATGAGCATACCGTCATGAAACAAATGTACCAGCTTCAATAAATGTTACGTAACTCTCTTGAGATTTTCACTGATATTCGAAATACTCGGGGCTATATAGATAAGATAAAAATTGTAACGGCTTGAAGGAATTCTGTGATAGCACTGTCATATATCTTTGAAATCTTATTAATTACCAGATAGATTGACGAAAGCGTCTTTAAACAGTTTAAATCTTACGATCAGTCGATCCTAGGTATTAATCGATCCCTCGATCTTAGAATTACGAAATGTATATATATATATATTTTCACTGTATTTCAGGCGTGCGGGTGCAGCAGCGATGGGTGTTCGCGATTATGGGATTCCTCGCGGTTTTCAACGCGTACACCATGAGAATATGTCTTTCGCTGGCAATCACGGAGATGGTCATCCCGCTCGAAAGTCATAACTATACAGATGACACCTGTTCGTATTCGGATACGCCGTCCTCCGGTTCCTCCGGAGCCGGAACGTACGACTGGGACGAATACACTCAGGTATAAACGTTCTTTGAGATTCTGAGCGACTCCATTCATACGGAGCCATCTTGCTTCGTTGTCCACAGGGTATCATTTTGTCGTCCTTCTTCTGGGGTTACGTCATTACTCATTTACCTGGCGGTATCCTGGCCGAAAAGTTTGGCGGCAAGTATGCCCTAAGCTTAGGAATTCTCTCGACTGCCGTCTTTACGCTGCTCACTCCGCTGGCCGTCCAATTGGGGGATTCGACTGGCCTGATCGTCCTGCGCTTTCTTATGGGGCTTGGCGAGGGTACAACCTATCCCGCGTTGAACGCTTTGCTTTCCAAGTGGACACCGCCCCAGGAAAGATCAGTGATCGGATCCTTGGTCTTTGCCGGTGCTCAATTGGGAACAGTCTTCGCTACGACCACCACAGGATTCATCATTCACTACTTTTCTTGGCCACCCGTCTTTTACGTATTCGGTTCTATCGCTATTCTCTGGTTTATCATCTTCACTATAATTTGCTACAATAATCCCAATGAGCATCCGTTCGTCAGTGAGAGAGAAAAGAAATTCTTACACGGTTTCATGAAAGAGCACACTCATAATAAGGTACCGGCGGTTCCGTGGAGACATATTATGACCTCGAAACCACTATGGGCCCTGATCTTCGCTCAAATTGGACACGATTGGGGTTTCTTCACGATGATCACGGATCTACCAAAGTACATGAGCAGCGTCCTCAAGTTCTCAATAAAGAACAATGGCATGCTATCGTCACTTCCCTACCTCTGCATGTGGCTCTGCAGTGTCCTGTCATCCTGGTTGGCTGACTGGATCATCGTTAAAGGCTATATATCCAGAACGAACGTGCGAAAGCTTGGCACCACCATCGCCTCGGTGGGACCTGGTCTGTTTATCATCGGCGCTTCCTATGCCGGCTGCGACAGAGTGACGGTGGTCATCCTCTTTACTCTCGGTATGACACTAATGGGCGCCTTCTATCCAGGAATGAAGGTGAACGCCCTGGATCTCAGTCCAAACTATTCAGGAACATTAATGGCCTTGGTGAATGGCATCGGGGCCTTTACTGGTATCCTGACGCCGTACATTGTTGGAGTTCTGACGCCAAATCAGACAGTTTCCGAGTGGCGCTTGGTCTTTTGGATAGTGTTGGGTGTTTTCATAATCACCAATATTGTTTTCATTTTATACGCAAGTGGCGATGTACAGCCTTGGAATTCTCCTGAATTCCTGATAAACGATCATGAAGAGAAAAGACGGAAAGCCGCCGGAGAGGAGCCGCAAGCGACACCCGCGAAGGATGGTACGCAATAGGGGAAGAACGGCGATCCCGGTGCAGAAATTAATAGACGAGTTCGAGTCGGCGAATTAACAATTTGCGAGCGTCATATATAATTCGATAATGTTAACTCGTTAATGCTCGCTAACAGAATTTCTAAACCTAATCATTATCCTCCAGGGCTCGTACCGCCCACCTCATTCCGATTTCTTGCAATTAGGCCCTTTTCCGAATCGAGGATCGAAAAGTAACGACAAAAGAGCATCACCAAACTTTCAGATACATCAGCCACATCCATCCCAATCAGTCGTGTACATAGCAAGTCACTCAAATCGCTCGGCGACTTTTAGTACCGAGTGCTGGCTCTTAATGTATCTTTCTATAATACGTAATGTGTAGCTTTAGCGGTGTCGTGACCATCGACAGGCGCTACTCATCCGAGGAAATACATATTATCATGATATAATAAGGACCTCTCATATTTGTATATTCATATATAATACTTGGATAAATGTTCAAAGAAATTTTCGGGTACTATTATATTTGATGCATGGATTGGATGCTTTCGAGAAGCTATTGTCGGGGCAATGAAACGGCACTCGTATCGAATGTCCAAGACACTTTTCAGGTTAGATTAGATCTTCAGTGCAAAACACCCCAACGTTGATATAAGTTATTTTTTAAGCATTTTTAACTTACGTAATTAACGTTGCTGTTTCCAATCTGTTTTTAAAATATACTTTACACATATTTTTAAATTTAACTCTATTATTGAAGGTATCTAAGGAAAAGGTGTCTGAGACGCCATATATTTTAGCGTGTTATTCGCTATATGTATATGTATATATGTCAAATGAGAATTCTGCTTTGGCATGGAACGGCGTTCATTCGATTTCACAATATTTCTCGAATCAGATGACCGAAAAATATTTGAAAAGATTGCGTTTTTATGCGATATGTTACAAACACGTTCAAGAAATTAATGGATGCCCTACTCATCGAGTGTAGACCGTCTATAGTTTTATCTTCTATTACTGATTAGACGATAGGTTTTTCATAACATTTATCAGGATCATAAATTAGTTAGCTCCCGATAAAAGATCGCGAGCGAGTATTGCCGATGTGTAATCTGATCTTGGAAAACGGAAATTGTAATTAATCATAATGATCGTAGCATCGAAGGACGTCTCGGAAATTGTGCAACATGGCTTAAGCTTAGAGGCCTGCGACAAATCTATTGATAATAGCTGTTTTTCATCGTGTTGAGAACTTTGGTGAACTTATTGGAAATACAGCAGCAACTATAATATAGGGTCCACGATAACACAATTACTCGGTCTATGAGTTCAATGGTTTTTTTTTTTTATTAAAAATAATAAAGTCTCTGATAAGCCACGCGCAGATGCGCATAACATTTTTATTACAAAAAATGTATATACATGGTTTTGCACTGAAATATATTTCATTTTTCTATCTAAGCGTATAAGTATTTCAGTGATTTTATGGAATGCCATTCGCATATAGAAGCCTCAATTATAGGTATAGTTTAGACGACTGAAGAGATCGTAAAGTACGCAGTACACGGTGTAAATATCATCAGTTATACGTCAATGTTTTGGCTACGGATGTTTAAACCCAATTTATATTTGTTTCACCAGACAAAACTATGGAGTAGGAGTACTGTACCATTCATGCAACAACCAAAAACGAAACTTCATAAATATAATATATTGATTCCAGATCGCTTTTGACAGTCAAGAATGATACAAATTAAAATTGAATCAAAGCGAAACTTCTTATTTTCATAACGTAAAAACAAAAAAAGGAATATCGATATAAGTTTACGCATAATTATACGAATTTCCTAAACATACTTAAAAAGTTTCATCAGTTTCATATGGTAATATTGTTTTCACCCGTTAATGGATTTTTTACAATCAAATGTCCCGTGTCTCCATAAGAACTTAAGTTGAATTGATGAAAGTTCATTGATACATGACTTGTAAACTAAAAAGACAATCGACTTAAAGTTTTGTATGTATGTATACTCAGCGTCACTAATGCCTGAACCTACCGACTGAGCTTGCCCCCATTTAAATAAATGACTAGTAGAGAACAAAGACAAAAGTAATGACCCTGGGTTACTTACATACGTACAGGTCTTCGGTGGTTACTAGTAATTCATATACGAGCTCTTGCAACTGTTTTTCTGCTCTCGGATTTTGACGCTTCTTACCTAGGCGTGCGTATCGGCAAAAGCTAGTTCAGGCGTCACTTGGTAGATGGCGCCCAACGACGGGCAGTGTAGTGTAGACAGTAGACATTAGACAGTTTTGAAACATGGAGAAAGATGAAGGAGGATTGTGGGCGATAAGTTCAAAGCGGCCAGACTATCCAACTGCGGCTTACCAAGCATTATAATAAGGTTTTGTCGTTCTATGGGTAAGTTCTATGGTAAGCTAGCTCTTTATCGCAGTTTCACATCCGCACGTTCAAACTGCGTCTATGCTTTAAAGCAGCGGATAATTGTAACCAGAACTTGAGTCGGTTGCTTGTAAGTCGTACGACTCGTACGATTGACCTGAAAAGGCTCCTTTATTCATCGTCCATTCCCCAGCCTCGACTGATCGACTGTGATCGCGACCATTGATCCTAGCGTCAACGGCCAACCGATCCTCGGTGACGTTCAAATTTTCCCTTGACTGGTGAGATCATGCACGGGGGGTGAAGGCGTTTCAGAAAGAAAGGCATGCCGTTATAAATGTGTTAGTATCCAAAATGGTCGAATGCTCCGCTATTAATATACATAGAAGTGTCCTTTATTGGTAGCGCGGTCGCGCGACGTGTATGCTGTTAATCGGCCGTAATTTTCTCTCGGCTGCAGCTGCGAGGCACGAGCTCCGTCTTCGTTCGCGTCGTTGAGAGGCCTTAAACCTTAGACTTGTCTGTCTCTCTCACACTCGTAACTTGATGATTTCTCGGTCGAGTGACGCGATACTACGCGAGAGAAGTACGTTCTCTTCTCTCTCATTGTCAGTTCTCCGTCGCGTTGAGCACGCGCTCGCTCCTGCTCATTCCGCCCACGGAGCACGCTCGCCTGTATGTATGTAATATTGTACAATTGTACATACATACGTCGACGTTCATCGCCGCCCCCCCCCCTCCCCCGCCAAAGTATTGCATGCGTGTGGCGTGCAGCGTGCGGCGTGCGGCTGTGTGCGTGCGGCCTACCCTTATATTCAGATTCGTTCGTAGAAAGAGCAAACGTGGAGGCGGGAGTCAAACGACTTCCCGGATAACACATACCTTCAAAAGTTTTATAACTTTCCGTTTCGCAATCAGTCGACACCTTAAAGACGTAAACTTTTGGACATTATGTGTTGTCTTGCATGCGCAGAACAATTTATTATTCTTGTTAGAACACCCGAAAGAGTCCGTCTTCCTGGCAAATTTGTACCGACATAAAGGCCTAAATTTAACGTGAGAATGTTACGATGCGCTGAGGAGAGTCGCGGTGCTCCCTTTAGAAGGAAAAGGAAGGCGTAGAAATGATAATTCAAAATCAATGCTCGACGGGCTTGGCGGACAGGAGTTGGAGGGAGCACGCAGTTCGTTACGAGCTTGATTGCTTCAAATCTGCTCGATCTTCCGCGTTTTATTTCGAAGCACCGTGACAGCAATCTACAGCACGTCGCGTCCTACGCGGCGCACAGTGACCGAGGTTCGGGTCACGAGTATGTATTATGTACATAGATATAGCGAGAGACTAGAGTCGAAGTCTCGTACTCTCTTACTTGACATCAGTAGCAGCTTGAGTGAGGGTGGCACTAGAATAACCAGTACGCTCAACTTAATAATTACAGACGTATAGAGTGTGTGTGTAGACAGCCCGGATCTGTTGCACAGTGACTCGCCCTCGCTTTGCCTTTCGGTTAAGGGAGACTGGAAAACACCCCCCGAACGCGGCGCGGAGAAATACACGAGCAGGCCTTCCACGTCCCGACGGAGTGCATAGATCGCAGCTGGTTCTACTTACCGAATCTCTATTTATATTTTCTGAGCTTGGAGCGCCAAAGCCGCAATATCGAATAAAAGTAAGAGTGTCCAACAGGATAGTGATTATTTAAATGTGTGCAGGCAGCCCGAGTGAGTATACCTGAGTGTATAACGGCGACTGGCAGGCCGACGATGGGCGTGGCGGTGTGTCTCTGTGTACCGTTATTGTTTCCTTCGGGGTTCGAGAAATCGAGACCTTCTTGGTCTCCGGATTGCGTCGGACAATGAAGCGGGGGGAGAAGCCTGCCGCCCCCGCCGGGAGAAGAGTGTCTTGCGAAAAGTAGGACCTGTCGAGACGTCGAGTCTCTTTCGAGGCAGCTCTAATGCGGCTCTCAAATATACAAGGTTGTCTTTACTCTCCTGTTTTTCGAACTGTTTACCCTATGCTTAGTACACTGGCCACGTCGATCAGTCGGCTGATGCCAGTGTTCAATGGACGAATGATTTACGAAGCGAGCAAAAGTCAGCATGTTATTATGCAGTCGCATATTGAGTCGAAATAATATTATATATCTGACAGTTGCCCGCTGTCATCGAGTCTTAACTATTTTATGGATGCCGTCAATGTGTCTATGCGTCTTTGCATTAAAACTGCATCGGGCCACACAGGCTTGATCAGCTGTGAATCAATGTTTTCGATGTTTAGAGAATGGTCTTTCTTACTGAACATTTGAATTATTGCACCCGCTGGTATGTACACACTGCTCCTGTTTATCGGAAGCCTTAAACCTTAAACCCCCACGGCCAACATGCCTCTCGAATGCTGATATCCACTCTAGCACTCCTAGGAATCTTTAAACCTAATTACACCTAATTATACATTAATAAGAAAGCTTAGCGCTACAGTTCAGGGATATTCGATTGAGAATTCACTGTACATGCATTATGTATACAGCTAGGAGAAAATCTATTAATATTCATGGCGCTACCCTTCCGTTTCCGAAAAAGTATATCTATAACGGCGTGCGGGATATGAGAATCATTAAAAATTCGAGTCTCCTCATCGCGACGGAGCCGAAGAACATCCAAGTCAAAGGCACGTACTCCCGAGTTCCTCCAGGAAATCGATACGGATTTTCTCGTCGCTCAGGTACCCGAATATCAATGCACCTCCGTTTATTCTTCTTCGTTATCTTCCTGAGGATCAATCAATCCCATTGCAAAGATCAGAAAAATTGGCAAGAATTGCCAATGAGTATAAATAGAGTATAAATAGTATACTTCGAGTGTCGGAGTACCGGAAATTCCCCGATAAAGAAAGTGTAAAGATAAATGGAGGTAGAATGAAATGAGAAAATGAGCCTAATCGGAAAGTAGTGCGGTTACACTAGGCTTTTCTGGACTCTGCTCGTTCCGGCGAATATCTTTGAAGGAGTCGAAGAATTTTCGGAAGTCGTACGATTGAGGCCAGTCATCCTGAGGGAACGGATCCGAAGACAGGATAGAACGATTATTTGAACCAAAGTTGTTTTTTTGTCTTTTTTTCTCTTTATAATCACTACGATTCCAGAGTACACGTGACTGTAGACAGAGAGACACTTAATGATAAAACATACGTAATGATACTCGGGCATACCGACGTTGCTCGAGGAAACTGGAGCGTGCTTGCGAAAGAATAAGGAGAAAGGCGCGAATGGTAGTGGGAGTAGTGCGATGGGGGTATGGACACACAGAGAGAAAGAGAGAGAGAGAGTGTGTGTGGTGGTCCATACTCTGCTGTATCGGTTGCACGAAACTCGCGAAAGCTGATCCAACGGTTTAAGAGGGAAAGGCAACCGCTCGCTCGGCATTCTAATATTATACATTATTTTAAATCCCGCGCGGTTAGCGAGAGTCTCTAGGCCCTAAGATGGTGTGATTTCGTGCTATAGTTTATTTCATACCGAGTGAAGGCTTAAGAAAGCATATTAGAAGCGCCGTTAACTATATGTTAAACTGTAGATTATTACAGTAATGGTGGTAAGTGTAGGCAGTGGCGGCAGAGGGGGCAGAGGGGGCAGTGGGTTCGTCGATGCGCCGTTGCCAAAGTGCGGGCGGATCGGTGCAGATCGGTGGCCACTCCCATGTTTTGCCTTCCACTCTAATCTATTCGCTCCAGGACTGCTTATCAGGAACACTCCGAGCAACATCTACTCGCCTGCTTTTAGTATGTATTCGCGATATTGATGAATTACATCGAATAGGCGGATTTCAGCTACGCTTTGTATTATTTATTGCACTTATAAGGATTCTCGAAAGCTCCTTTGATGAAATATTTTTAATGCATTCGAAAGGCGCTGCGTCGTATGTACGTATCGAGGTGTAGCTTGGCTGTTCACGGCCTTGCGAGAATATGTCGGTATGTCGCGCGCGAATAGGCGCAAGAGAATTTTATCTTTTAAAGTTTTTCGTAAGAATTCATTAGGAAGGAGTAATTCGGTGCGTGGATAAAATGGTACTGGGCGATAACGGGAACACGAATAGGTAGAACACGAGGCGAATGATCGCGCGGTGGCTCGACAGCCGCGGTACCGAGGTAGGCGAGGTAGGCGAGGACGAAAGGCGCGATGTAAATACGCGTAAAGCAAAGAGGCCTATCTTTATCCGTTCTAGAAAGGCGAGGCGCGCACACCAGGGCGCAAATGCGTAAACATAAAGGGCTCTTATCTGGAACGTGCGTCTGCCCGAGTTGAGCGACACGTTCCGTCCTTTCCTTTCGCGAGCATTAATGGAATTCTATTGCGTGCCATTTTCAGCAAAAACCGACTGTCGGGACTATAGTTATATTCAGAATGGTTGCGTTATATTATCCTTGTAGAACTCTTACGTCATTATGTCTTATCAAGTTATCGCTCTTGTTAGCAGAGAACCATCAGCAATACGCGGGCACGGGTGACAGCTGATCTATGAAAAATCTTGTGCGCGTGCTCATCCTGGATACGCCACTGGACGTATTCACCAAAGGCTACATGTGCGGAGGGCGCGTAGGCGAAATTAATGGATTCGAAAAAGTGGTCGGGACGATCCGTGGCTCGTGCTCGAACCAGGTGCGTCTTCGAGGAGTCACGACGAGGAGAAGAGTCGTCGAGAGAGAAAACCGGTATGTGGCTATTGGTGCCTACAGCCCCCGATGGTACACCTCTGCAGTCGCGAGGACTTGGGACCGCTCTCGCTTCCCCTTGCATTCTGACCCGAGTTTCCCCGGCAATCCTGATCACTCTGATACGTTAGAAAGAAGCGAAAAGGACACTCGATCGGTGTGCTGGAATTCCCAAGGAATCGGGGTAAATAAAAGGCCCATGAGGCTTTTGACTCTTGTCGGGCGCAGTGCTGGCTCCGTTGTACTAATAACTCACGCGGAACGCACCGTAGAAAAGATTTGAACTCGAATCCGCGTCCAGGAGAGAGCACGTGCTAACGAACGAGGGCGTTGCTCACTGCATCCATAATGCAAGACATTCCGGAGGAGAATCCTGCTGCGAGAGGCTCAGGGATCCTCGTCCTCCGTAGGCATATAGACGTGCACGTGCACGCGCCCTGTGTCCGGTCGAAAGTTAGCTCGAAGGGGACTTATCATTAGTTGGAGTGTCTCGCAGCCACCACCTCTCCTGTTGCTCTGTGACAGTCGGACTGCTGGAAACTCATCGTCATCCCCGCTTGCGTCTTTGCCCGCTCGAGGACAAAGAGCATTATCCGATTGACATCTTTTTGAGAGGTCCATGAGTAAGATGACGCGTGAGGCTGGTGATAATCTGATAATCTACCAGAGAAATAAGAACGCAGGTGCCTTTTCTTTAAAACCAATTTTCCCATTAACGTCATACTCCTAACTCTGCGCACGTCTATTGCACAGAGACTACAGGAGAACCTGCAGCGAGCGTCCTCGACACGGCATTTCCGGCTATTTCGCCAGTCACCAAACGTACCGACACTTTCGGATGATTTTTGACTTATAGTTAGCAAGGAGCACCGGTTCTAGCGACTGTTTCACAGTAAAAGTAAACGTTGTCACGGCAATGGAGCGCGTCCACTCTGGAGACAGTGTCTGTGTGTGAGAGAGAGAGAGAGAGAGAGAGAGAGAGAGAGAGAGCCACAAAAAAAGTCTGAGGAATCGGATGGAATCTATAATAAGGAGTAGGTAGTAGGGTCCAGTGCGGTTACACGGACAACTGCAGGGTGCAGGGAGAACAGGGTGGACCTCGTGAAGTACAGCACCAGCCTGGAATAGAGCCAAGAACGGACCTGAAACCGGTTGAATTACAATACGCGGCGCGCATGCGCTGAGTCACCACTATGTATATTACATACTGCACAAGAAATTATACACAGTCGGTTGTTAAGAGCGGAGCAAAAAGAGACAGCGAGAAGAGAAAAAAGCGGGACATTGCTCGATCGAGCGTGAAACACTAGTTTCCTTAACGCGCGAGCGTATCCATTCTGCGTCGAGTACGTTGGCATTATCTATGTATATATTCGTCCTATGCGAAATTGCGAAACTAGGTCGTATAAGCATCGACGGTTGGCGATTTGAGGGACGGATCCATCATACAGGAGCATTCGAGTCGGACGTCTTTGTACCGTCTAATTCCGCGTCCAACTCCGGATCGATCAAGCAGCTTCGGGGGATCAGCTTACGCGCTTGGCGGAGATGACTGGGGGTGCAGGGGTGCAGGGGTGCAGGGGTGCAGGGGTGCAGGGGTGCAGGGGTGCAGGGGTGCAGGGGTGCAGGGGTGCAGGGGTGCAGGGGTGCAGGGGTGCAGGGGTGCAGGGGTGCAGGGGTGCAGGGGTGCAGGGGTGCAGGGGTGCAGGGGTGCAGGGGTGCAGGGGTGCAGGGGTGCAGGGGTGCAGGGGTGCAGGGGTGCAGGGGTGCAGGGGTGCAGGGGTGCAGGGGTGCAGGGGTGCAGGGGTGCAGGGGTGCAGGGGTGCAGGGGTGCAGGGGTGCAGGGGTGCAGGGGTGCAGGGGTGCAGGGGTGCAGGGGTGCAGGGGTGCAGGGGTGCAGGGGTGCAGGGGTGCAGGGGTGCAGGGGTGCAGGGGTGCAGGGGTGCAGGGGTGCAGGGGTGCAGGGGTGCAGGGGTGCAGGGGTGCAGGGGTGCAGGGGTGCAGGGGTGCAGGGGTGCAGGGGTGCAGGGGTGCAGGGGTGCAGGGGTGCAGGGGTGCAGGGGTGCAGGGGTGCAGGGGTGCAGGGGTGCAGGGGTGCAGGGGTGCAGGGGTGCAGGGGTGCAGGGGTGCAGGGGTGCAGGGGTGCAGGGGTGCAGGGGTGCAGGGGTGCAGGGGTGCAGGGGTGCAGGGGTGCAGGGGTGCAGGGGTGCAGGGGTGCAGGGGTGCAGGGGTGCAGGGGTGCAGGGGTGCAGGGGTGCAGGGGTGCAGGGGTTTATGGAGGCACAAGCCTGCAGCCGACAGCAACGTCCATTGTTGCCGTCCCAATGGAAGCAAAAAGGTTTCAAAGTGCGAGACGAAGGCGCGCCGGTACCGAACCCGATCGCAAGTCCTCGGACTCCGGGGGCCAGACTCCATTGTACGCAGATAGCAAGCCCATTGTTTATGCTAAACGCGCAGGGATCAAATTTATGCAGGGTACCTTTTTTTCATGGACCGTCCATCTTGGACTGGCCCACATAGCCGAGCCCTCTCCTCTTATCCTCCTTTTTAGTTTCATTTTCTTTATCTTACGTGTACAGCCATTTCTGTATTCCGCGCGCGGTACCTTCCCCGGCAACCATCGGAATTACGTGCGGACCGTTCGTGGACTTGAGGCGCACTTCCAAGCACAGCTGCGTCGACGCGCGGAGAGAGTGCGCCTGATTCGTTATCTCTTCTATCGTTGCGTTTAACGTGGAAGACGCCAACGGCAACACCACCTTCTGTCTCCTCTCCTGTCCTCCCGTAAGACCCCTCTGTGCCCAAGTGCCCAGTAGCCCCCCGAGCACCTCGCCACCCCGAGCAACTTCCATGCTTATGGTCACCTACGACTTATGTCTACCTGAAAACGTGTTCTTTCTTCATCCAGTTTTATCTCTACCCGTGTTACCGTACTTACGTCTCTTTCGAAACTTTTCCTTGCTTCTCCGATGTTTCTTTTTTACTGCCGTCCATCGATAAAGGTGCGCCCCCCTTTAGTGCGTGGGCGAGAGCGACGCTCTCTGTTACAACGGCAACAACACGCCTTATAGTTTTCCACTTGTCAGACTTTCTTTTTTCTCTTGTTCGGCGCTTCCTGAAGGATCGGCGCACGTGTACGGCCTGCTGAGGATTCTGAGATCACGTGAGGATAACTGTGCCTGCTAATGTGTTATGGTAGGAATATCGAAATAACAATTCGGGTGGTCAGAGGGAGGTTGGCCAGTAAACGGGAATCGCAAGAGCAAAAAGAGAACGATATGAGGGCTGGGCCGGAAGGGGAGTAAGCGCTTTTAACAGTTCGTTGCTGTTGCTTCCGTGGCGGGATCTGCACGTGGGCATGCGCTCTGATTATCCTCCGCACTGGATCCGATCGGCCGAGATTAGCATTTGCATCCAATTAGTGATGCAGATCCGGTCCCGTAACGACCAGCCTACACCGGCTTTACCCTCGGGATTGATAGAACGAATTCATCTACTTTTCCTTTTTCGTCTTTGATAGCGGTTCAATACCGTTCAGTGAAATTAATAATAATATAATTCTATAGGTTTTGTGCGCAGCGCCCATGAACAATATGTCGATAGCCACGATGTGGCGTCTTTTCCGTAAAAGTTTGACAATCCGATTCCTTTGTCTATCCCGAAGAGAAGAGAACAAGACAAGATAAACTATTAAATGGAAACATAAAATTGTCCGTCCGCTAGGAAAGATTCTACGGGGAAGACCCCCTCACGCACGGGACGGGTCGAATTCGAGATAGCGATAGGAAGGAACGAACCGAGAGTAGTTGATTGAATTTCATAAATTATTCGAGCGAAGCTAACAGCAGTCGCCGCCAACAGGCGGTTTCGAGTTACAGCGGGACAAGGGGACACAAGCAGACCCTCAGGATACCAAAGAGATTGTGTTACCGGAACGCAAAACATATTTATCGACTACGCTGACGCTTCGCATCAACTTTGACTTCGATGTCGATTACGACGTTGAAGCTTCTAGCGCAATCACGTGGCGAGCTGTCAGCCTCACAATGCGAAAGTCTATCAAGGTCAAATTCCCAGTGGCCGGAGATAACGCTACGACGCTACGACGCTCCCAGTCCCCGAAAGTCCATAGGAAACTCTCTTTCTATCTCTCTTGCACACACGCTTTGTCCGGTTTAATTAATAAAAAGGCGACAACTAGGAAACGTGTTCGGACACTGGGACGTTTTCACCTCACGCGAATGACTGTTGCTCTGAGCATCCCTCTTGTGTCCTCTTCAGCAACGCAGCAAGGGCTATCAAGGGCCATGCACAGATCGAGGAACAACTTTTGCTGTTCAGCTAACAATGCGTTTAATATCTAATAATAGGTAGGGCTTCATTTGCAAGAGACAAATTTCCATTTTACATATGGCCGAAATATATTGATGGATCCTACCTAAAGTTTTCAGAGTGCTCTCATTGGTAAATGCATGCTCTTTCTTTGTCTTCGTTTTCATGTTTCACTGCATTCCAATCAATTACCACGGTAGAGCGAAAGCTTTTAGATCCTCGAGGACGGTGCGATGCGCTCGATAAATAAAATAATCTTCGATCCTCGTGTGAAAATACATTGAAGAGTTTGAAGACGTTCAGAGCCACCAACACCTTGCAGCGTCATTAGAGCTGTTAGCACGTACTATTTCACTTGAATTCTTGATTGAACGTAGCCGCAAGAATACCATTTTTTGTTTAGCTCCAGAGAGAGAGAGAGAGAGAGAGAGAGAGAGAGAGCCTCGCTATCATAGTATACCAGCATCCTTTAGAAGCATCGGGCCCCGATCGACTTTATTTTCCTTCTCACGTTCCGACGAGCTGATCACCGATGGCTCTCCACATGCTCCCACTCTCTCATCTCCGAACGTTACGTCTTCAGTCTTCAATGATGCGGAGACAAAGAGATCTGGATACTCCCTGTCAACGTGATCAATGTCAGACTGAGAGACCGAGTATATATATACATAAAAGTATGGCGGCATACCTAGCAAAGATTTCCCGGTTTAATGTCAACGGTGGTCCTTGTAAAAAAATGATCTATGAAGGATAAAGATTTGCATGCCCGCAAGTCAGAAGAAAGAGACGATATATGTATAGTCGAAGAGAGTATTCCGCAAAAAGGGCCCACATAGGTCCGGTATCCGAGAATTCGAACTGGTGGGAACACGTGTGCGAGGTCTGTGAGATTTCTCCCGGTTGGTCTCGCCTCTCTTTCGCCTCTCTTCTTCAAGGATGTAACATTAACCCATGACCTAGGCAGCGAACGAGAAGAGTTCGTAAGTCTCGCACTGTATCCACTATAGAGTATAAAGTACGTCACTGCAGGAGTACCAACAGAGCAACAGTCGCTCATTTTCGAAGTAGTATAAGAATCGCACCGAAACGAAATTCGCTCTAGCAGCTGGGTAAGAAGCTCCTCGAGCCTTGATGAAATTCCGAAGTAGCCAATTCGCATTCACGGCTGGGACCTACCGGATCGTGCTGTGGCCATAACAGTCCATGTTCGACCGGTCTCTTTCTTTTTCCTGATATTTCTTTGCAAGTGCTTCAGCCGCCATTATAGGTAGCGAACGAGTCACCTTCGAAAGGCAATAGGGTGGAAGCACGTGGAGCTTTCCTTTAAGGAGATCTTTCCTTTCCTTAAGCTGGTGCTCTTGGAAGTATCCGGATGCCCGCGGGAGAGAGTGTCTTCGTTTAATATGACCGAGGGTGAAAGGGGTGCGCAGAGTGGGAGCCGAACGAACTCTCCGCTCGGTTAGAAAAAGCTTTTTACTTCTTCTCTCCTGGAAAAACATTTACGTCCGAAAGTCGGGCGCGCGCGAGGCCCTACGAAATCCCGAGAAAAAGCGTGTAGACTCCGGATGGGAATCGAGCGAGGACTAAAGGAGTTTGAGAGAGAGAGAGAGAGAGGGGACACGAATGACGGAGAATCGAGGAGAAAAGGGAGAAGGAAGAAAAATGAATGAACCAGAAGACTCCTCCGTCGTGTTTGTTAAAACAGATGTTAATTCTCTTGAGAAAATGTAGGTTTTTCCGGGACACGCATGCTACGTACGTATCTTATGGATTCCCAAGTAAAAATCTTTGATGTAGGTCTTGGTAAGCTGGTCTTCAGCAGTAGAAATACTATACCTGATTGCTAAGTGATAGCTGAGCTGAACTTTTCCTCACAATTTCCAATTATAGAAGATATCTAGGACAAGGGTGTGAGACTTCAGCGTGGTGAGCTGGACTCGAGAGCTGCACTTACGCCATTAGTTTCCTAAACTTTGTTATAGACGCAATCCAGATGTCACGTAGCCGATACTTACTGATAATTTCATCTGGACCCGATACAGGTCAAATATTTTTACTCGAATGTGCAACGGAAGCTCCGTTGCCTCAATCATTCCCGCGCGGCCGCTAAGATATTTGAGCACTGGTTGTGCGCAACTTGAGTTTCGAATTTCACATATCGCATTTGCGTGGCAACCAGAGGGAGATGATAAGATGTTATACGTAACACATCGTGGCCTTTTTAGCCCTTCGGCAAACATTCACCTCTCGCCCCCCCCCCCCTTTTCCGCGTCCCAGGACGAGAGGTAAA